TGATGACGGGAGACACTTACCTGACTGTTACCCCTATTCTCGGGTAACTGGTAGCGTAACGATAACTTTCCACCCCTAGTTGGAGGTTCTTCAGAAAAATGTTATTTGTTATTTTTTTGTTATTTATAACAAATAACAAAAAAAGTTATTGTCATTAATAACAACCGAATAACAATAACTTCTCACTCCTAGTTAAAAGTTCAGGTTCTCTATACATCGTTAGTCATGCTATGAGATGAAAAATCTTTATTGATAAAAAACTTGTGTCCTCTACAAATTTCAGTAACTTTTCTTAAAATAAAATAACTTTTTTTTATTAAGCTTTTTCTAAAGCAATTTAATTTCTATATGTGCTCTCATCAATCAAATCTTTAAAAGTTAAGTATGGAATTTAATCTTTTTACAGAAAACTAATAAAATTGTCAACTTTATAATCAATCGAAAATTTAAAACAATTTTATTATACTAAATCGTGATTTTCTTAATGTTTGCGACTGAGAAGCAGCCAAAATGACTATTATAATATTTAACGACGAACAATTAAATGACTTTCGTTATGATTGAAATATTCATTAAAACATCTTAAAATATTTAACTCGTGAAAATAAATACTATATTCAACGATATATAACCAGATTCTTTTCGTTAAGGAGTCAACGCGTTTTAATGATCGCTCGATATTTAACGATATTTTTCTGTTGAAGCCCTGTTAAAACGCTATCTAATGCAAATTTCAGCGAAAACGTTCTTAAATGTCTTTTATTTTTACATGAGATGATGAAGAATCAGCAAAAAAGAAAAACTATCGCCATGAATAATATATATTACACGTTTCCACTAATAACGATCCCAGAAGTTTTTGCTTCAGATCGATTTCATTGCTCAGAATATATCTTTATAACTTTCCAAATCTTTTTTGACACATTGTTGAACTATTTCTTGATAATTATTTTGTTCAATAATTGTCATATATTAATATTTACGCTCATAATTCTTCGTACTCATCATCATCTAACTGATTATTTCCTGTGCTTAACTTTCTCATAATGAAAATTTACTGACTTGTATTATCATACTTGGCGAAGTTGTTTGCTCAAGAAGAGAAGAAGTAAAATCAATATCATCCTATTGTATCCTGCGTCTTGCCAACTACGTCTTGCAATCAGTCAAAAGAAATAATAAAATTACTGTTGGTAGAGAATTTCCTTGTCTGCAATATTTTTTCTCGTTGCCATGGACAGTCTTTTATTCATCAAGAATTATTCTTTTTTTGTTTTCTAGACTCGCAAGATGCAGCTCAATATATGCTATTTTTTTCCGTGCTACTTCGTGCGATAACGCTTACATATTCCTTTTCTGTAGGCCAACTTCAATTTTTTAATTTTGTTACTGAATATAACACTCGGAAGTGCAGATACAAGAGAAAGAGAAATTGAAAGTAGTAAGTCAGAAACTGCATTAATAATGCAGAGTGTTCACTTTTTATGCCACTAATATAATTGCGATGAGTTTTAGCTCAACCTTATAGGAATATCAAGGGACTCAATAAGAAAAATACCGAAAAGTATCACGAAGAAAGACAGTACATTGATAAGGAAAAGCAAGAAAAATGAAGTGCTAAGAGAGAGGAAAAGAAATAGGGAGAACAGAGAAAGAAAACTAAACGATAGATTACATTTGTGCTCCTGTATCATAGTTACCCATTAACTTTCTTCCACACTCATTGCAATATTTTGCGATTAATATCTTTCATGATCAATATATGTCAACAGTTGATAGGAATTCATAAGGCGAAATATATGTTGGTTAATCTCCTCTTTTACAATACCAGCGGCTCCATCGTATTTTACATTTTAATTCTGCAAGGATTGTGCTAACAGGTTTTTCATTTGCAAAGATTCTCCCATACGAAAATGTCATTAAAGAAAAATGAGCATCCAGAGAGCCCAAAAACTCATTTTCTTTATCACAATCACAATAGAGAAATTTTAATGAGACTAAAAACATCCAATGTCTGTTAACACGAGACAACTTTTATCTGACTAATAACAATGCCGTTCAGAGTATTTTTTTCTGTTTTGTAATCAGTAACGACAGTGCTGCTGTGCCCAAATTTCTTTTTGTACTTGTGTTGACAAAAATATTCTCTTCGCGATGCACAGAACAACCAAAGATGAACACTCTCACATGCAATCAAGTCTTTTTCTTCCTACTCTTTTAGTTGATGGTAAGTATCAATATAGTTATAACTTAGATAACATTTTTGATTCGATGTCTATTAGAGCGTTCTCAAACCTCCAGTAGTGTATCACTACCAGTCAGATTAATTATAGTAAAGAGGATAGAATAAATCCAGGAATCGCATGCAAAACTATGTGATACATTATATTGGTGTCGATTGGAATGTTCCAATGCTAACTTAGTGAAAGTGCACCTTTTCTTCACATCTAAATATTTCAGGTCAGTGGACGGAACAAGAACACATCATTGATACATCATAGAGGAATCTCTTCAATTTCAAGAAACCATGAGATTTTTCCTAAAAAGTGTGTATATTTTGTTTGTTCATTTTGTGCATTAGTCGTTACTACCATCCAGTGCCATTCTTTTTCTTTTATTAACGACAGAACACTGATTACTTAGACTCATGAGAGAACTGACAGAACGCAAGATGAAAAGCACAGATGCATTAAAAAGTAGGTCATCTACTAAAACGTATATTATTCTTTACTGAGACAAGAATTTAATACAAGTAAGATGTTGGCAATTTAAAAAAGTAGCAAGTTTTTTTTCTAGGTTAACTCATACACGGTTGGATAGAGTTTGTCGAGCTAATTCAGAATATATACATATTTCTTAATATTTGAAATCTTTTCCTGGATGAGAAAATATCAAGAAACTCGATTTTTACATAGCATTAAAACAACGGTCTATTTTTCGGAAAAAACTAGGGTGTGGGTGTGGATATGAGAGATTAAAAAGAAGATTCACACCCACACTCACTTGATAAGATTTCAGCAAAATCGAAATACCTGGTATTGTGGTAACTATACACATCCACCCACCACATGCATACCCACACCGACACCGGTCAGAATAGATAAGCCATCTGAATGAGTCCCTTAAGCAAGGACGAAAGCGGTTATGACAGCTTCTTCACACTCACACCCACCCGCACTCACACACCCACAGATTTTGGATTGCATGATTAGGTATGATGCGCGACCGAGACCAACTAGAGTCTTGATTTGATTTTTGGTGGATTTTTATTAGTGATTCAGATCTATAGTGGCAGTATGAGAAAACTAATAGAAACTCGAGACTCTCGAACTTAGGACATGCCTATATTCTACTCTAAGATGAATGAATTTGATTATTTTGAACTTATCGTTGAAACTAAATCAAGAACAATTGTAATACAGGTTCAGTATCTAATAAAAGTGAGAAGTGAAAAAGTATTGTACCGAAATATTAAATGACTCTTTTGTTTTTTCCGCGAAAGCTGAAGAACATAAAACACTTTGTGATGTCGCTAACAGCGTAGCGGCTGAAGCAACAAATAAGAAGCTAAAATAAATAGTGAATGATTGATTTAGTCGGTATATGCATGGCACCTTTTTTTTGCTCGATTCAACGTGAAAAATATCTTTCTGTTTCATTTGAATCACTTCAAACAAAGAAAGAAAACAAAAACAACGTGATCTCATCGGAAGTGTTGAACGAGGTATGTCGCTCTACAACATTTTCTCAAGTAGATGCCATCGAGATCGAGGAGACACTTTAATGAAGATGATGACAATAGGATGTTGTTTCTACAGATCTGCAGTTCTCTCTTCTGTATTTCTCATCTCATCCTGTTCTGTTCTCTGTTTTGGTTTTTTTTGCTCAGCAAAGAAAAAAGTCATAGAAAGTGTTCATGATTCCAAGTTACACAATAATGAATATTGTTTGCAATAGGAACTTGTGACAACAGATGGAGTGCATCATCAAATATATTTACATAAAAGATTAGGAGCCAACCTTCTTCACGAATTATGCGCCTTGCAAATGATAACAATCAGGGATCTTTATAATGCAAACGTTTTAGCACTTTCACAAAGCGAAAAAATAAAAGCAGAGCATTTATTCGGTTCCATGTCATGTCTTATCCACACACACGGCCGAATGCATTTGCAACTACATCAAGTGATATGAGTCAGAGACCGAAACGGGGTGGGGAGCATTTTTGGCTGGACGGAGAGAGAATTTGCGTGGAATAGCGCGGCGGGGTGGGAGCGGGGAGACAAAAAAATTTAGGTCGGGGCGGAGCGGGAACCGATCAGGGTAGAGTGAAGTAGATTCCCGGAAAACTTTCTTGTTCTTCAGTTTCACATTCAAAATTCGTATATGCATTAAGAAAGAGTCGATGAAAGTCGGGGCAGGGTCGGGGAAGCAAAAAAAATAAAGAGCAGGACGAGGCGGAGTTGAGTGGAGAAAGCTCTCGGCGGGGCGGAGCGGGGAATAAAAAATCCGCCCCGTTTCGACCTCGAACATGAGTGCTACTGGAATAGAAACGCATTAACTGTGTATTAAAATTAATAGTAGCTAAAAATGATAAATGATCTATGTCTGTGAAATTGATCAGCGGGCATTTTATTCGATAAAGTTTTTTGTTTATAAATGATACTCTTCAAGCAATTGTAGTATTCACAAATAAATCTTACTCATATGGCTCAATAGATAATTTAACCTATTTATCACGCATTTGCCCGACCTTATCTAAACTCGTGATCATTGTGCTAATAAACTTTTTACAATGTTCTAATACATGATTCCGGTGATTGTGGAGTTTCATCCTATAAAAATCTTTTTATAAAAGAAATATGCTTTTAATAGTGTTATTTTGGGCTGGACCAGATTATCAAAAAGTGACCAGATTTTGAGACCAGCTATATATCACAAGAATCGGATCTATGTTTGCTTTTCTTATGTAAGGAAAAAAAAATCCTAAACAGATATATTTATTTGATGTCACAAAGTAAAGCAACACCACGTAATATCCAATGTTCAGGTATATCATTTGATGCTAATTTAAGCATAGTTATAAAATGAAGATCAGTACGTATTGGTTTTTTATAGAGTGGACACATATAAATATATGGTGCAATTGAAATTTGATCATTTCGTTTTGTTCGAAGTGATATTTGATTTAATCGTAATTTTTTATTTGTAATTATTCCATTTGTTTGATTAGTTACAGATGGATTTATAGCAAATATATGAATAACAGGCATTTGAACATAAACAACTTTATTTTGTGATTCATGTAGACGAGTATTTTTTCGATTCCAACCAGCACCTTCCAAATAAAGACCATACACATAAACACCCTTAAAAAGAAAAATGCAATCAGATATTTTAGATTATTAAATTTTTTTACTTCATTTGGTGCTTCTCGAATATCATCTTTATATGAACGAAGAACAATATTATCGATTGTTACAGTATCAAGTGACCATCCTTTATGCATTCTTGTTACTTCTTG